GGATGAGCTGAAGGAATGTTTGTTCTTTCTACATTCTCTGGAATAGTTGACTGATGGAGTTATGCAATGATTGGTAGAACTTGCCTGTAAAACCATCTGTATTTTCTTTGCAGATAGATTTTAAAATATTGATTCAAGGCATTTAACGGTTTCAAGATCATTCAGTCCTGTAGGGGTCAGTTTAGCGAAATTGTTTTACATAGGAATTTGTTATTTTCACATTTTTTACAAATTATTTGTCCTAGATGTGTTTTAATACTCTTTGATATCTAAATTTTGTTGCTTATACGTAGTTAATCAATTTTTCATTTATACTGTGAATATTTTATCTTTTTGTGCTGTGAATATTTGTTAATTTGATCAATCTTTTTCAAAGAATCAAACAGGCTTTGCTTACCCTCCCCCTTATTCTCAGCCGATTGCATCTTGTCCATTACTGTTTCCTTCTTTTGCTTTGTTGAGTTTGTTCTGCTGTTCTTGCAGACTATTCTATTCTTCCAGCCTTCTAAAATTCTCTAATATAATTTGTGCATGTGTGCTAAGTCGCTTCAGGTATGTCTGACTCTTTGCGACCCTATGGAGCATAGCCTACCAGGCTCCTCTGTCCATGGACTTCTCTAGGCAAGAATACTGGAGTGGGTTGCCATTCCCTTCTCCAGGGGGTCTCCCCGACCTAGGAATGGAACTCGAGTCTCTCGCATCTCCTGCGTTGGCAGGCGGGTTCTTTACCCCTGGGAAGCCCCTCATATAACTTAAGACTATAAATTTGCCTTTTACCGTGACCGTGGCTGCATCTCACAATTACTGACACCTGATATTTTTAGCGAGTATTTTCTAACTTCCATAAGGATTACTATTTTGATCCAGGAGGCTTTTTCTTCTTCTACTTGTATTGAGCTATAACTGACACAGAGCACTGTGTAAGCTTTAGGTGAATAGCATAATGATTTGACATCATGAAATGATCATAATGTTTTTGAAAGTATGTCTTTTGCTTCACATGAATTTGTGTTAAAATCATTTCATTATTGACTTTGAACTTAACATATTTATTGGCCCTAAAATGCTACACAAGATGTATTAAGAAAAAAAAAAAGATGTATTAAGATTTCAGAAATGTTAAGATGTGGGAAAATGGCAACAGCAAGTATAAGAGCCCCTGACTGTAAGACACATCCCAATTTAGAGACACTAGAAACCAAAAAAGAAGATTGTGTTTTAGAATCTATAAAATTGTGTTGAAGTCAGAAACGATGTGTCCATATTATATCAACTTACTAAACTACGGTGCACTTAACTTTATTTCCTAGCATGTGGTATTTGTAAATGTTTCTTTGATTCTTATCTCTGTTTTATCCTTATTTTATCAACCCTTTCAGAGTATTGTTCATATATTTTATATCCTCACTGAATTTTGTCTTGGTCTATTGATTATCCACAGGATGTATTTTAAAATCTGCTTCTCTGATGCTGGATTTCTCAAATTTCCCTTACAATTTCACCTATTTTTGTTTTATGTATTTTGATCGAGTTATCAGGAACAGAAGGGCTTAGGGTTGTTACACTTTCCTGTTGAATTGAGCTGTTTATGCCTTGTATCAATATGTAATAACCTTTTTTAAGAAAATGTAACATTAATGCCTTTGGCCTTTTTTGTTTTCAACTTATACCAATATATTAATATCAGTGTCCCTTGGTTACTTTTTTTAGAACATATTTTTCCTTTTTGTTTTTGAGTTTTGCCTGTCTAAGCTCTTATACTTTTTTATCTATCTCTTATTAACAACATATAACTGGGATTTTAAAAATTCAGCATGATAATCTTAACCTTTTAATTAGAAAGTTTTATTCATTAGTACTTATTGTGATTAGTGATAATTGAAATTTCTTTCTACTACTTTCCTTCATGCTTTCTATTGAATATTTGTCCTCCCTTTGTTAGCTTTCTTTATTCTTTCTGTTCTTACATCCTTTTAAATTAATTGATTTTTAATTTCTTCCCATCTTATTTCCCAACTCAATTTGGAATACATTCTATTTCTAGGATATTGTTGGTTACTGTAAAATATTAATAATCTGTAAGTCATTTGAGTTGACAAAGTATACAGCTAATATTTACCCTCTTTACAAATGATACAAGAAACTTGGAGTTCTTTTTATTATAAATTATATGTTGCAGTTGTTCTGTTTCTTAGTTCTATTTTGTTATTTTTAACCACACAAATTATATGTTATTATTTTCCACAGCTAATGTTTGTTTAGACTTATCTACATATTTACTATTTTCTTTGATAAACATTCTTTGTATCTCAGATCTTTTTTCTGGGGTCCTTTCTCTCTTCCTAGAGTTTTCCCTACAGAAGTATCTCTAATGAGGGTCAGTCATGAGATTTTGGAAATATTTTTACTTCATCATCATTTTTTAAAAATACATTGAACTGACCTATAATTTAAAGCAAACATCTATTTTTTCTCAGCAGTTTAGATATTATGCCACAGTCTTCTGTTTTCCTTATTACTGTTGAGAAATCAGCTATATTTCTAAATCCTGTTTTCTTTTAGAAAATCTATTTCTTTCCTCCCATTTCACCGACTCGATGGACATGAGTTTGAGTAAACTCTAGGAGTTGGTGATGGACAGGAAGGCCTGGCGTGCTGCGATTCATGGGGTTGCAAAGAGTCGGACACGACTGAGCGACTGAACTGAACTGAACTGAACTGAAGGTTTCTCTTTGTCATTTGTATCCACCAGTGTCATTAGAATGTGTCTAAATGTGAATTATTAATTACCCTTCTTGGGATTTATGGACATCCTAAATATGAACAGTCATATCTTTAAAAAATACTGGGAAAATTTCAACTATTCTTTTTTCAAATACTGTGTCTCTTCCATTCTATTTTCCCTCTAGAATTCTAATCAGAAACATACTCTATTTTCTCACATTGTGCTACACGTAAAAGGCTAATCTGCATTTTCCTTCTTTTTCCTTTCTTCCTCTGCTGCATTCTAGAATGTTTTTGACAAGGAGGTCTATCTTCCAATCATATAATTCTCTCTTTAGCTCTGTCTAGTGTTCTGTGTAACTTTTCTATGACAGTTTCTATTTTTAATTATCAGTTTTTTCATTCTTTTAAAAGTTTAACTCTCAGGCCACCATTCTACATACAATCAAGAAAGCTTTTAGCTTGTGTTAGTACACTCCACTCACTGTTATTATGTCCACTATCACCGGTGGAAAGCACATTAGGAAGAATAAAATGATTGTCTGTTATCACTGACCTTTCCTTAAGTCTTGACTCTGAGACCAGAAATTGATTAGGGCATTTGTCATATCAGCTCAACAGAAACTCATATCTATTGATGTTTAAACCAAACTTTTTCACCAATACTCCTTTGAGCTGTGGTCAATTTGTCCAAATAGGGAGGAATCCCAGCAGGGAAAAACAAAACTGTGCTATAGATCCTTTCTCATTTAGATGATTACTTAATGACTGAATACTAGTTTAGACAAGCTAGGTACCACCTCCTTGACAGACAGGATAGCAAGGTCAATGTTCCCCTGTGGGTTCTCATAAAGTAACATTTTGTGGCAAACCCTGACCCCCACTGCTATGAAGCTATTTATGATCTTTATACCATTTGGTGTGAATATTCATACACTTAACTGCAGAAATTTGTTTGATTATGGTCTGCTGCCTGAGATCCCCTTGGCTTGTTAAATCAGATTGGTATTTGGTAGGATTTCCTTTCTAAAACACAAAAAGCTATTGATTCTGAAAAACAACTGGCCTTGGGGGTTTTGGATAAGGGATCATGGTCCCTTAACGCTTATGTCATTGTGTTCTGGCAAGAATGACACACCACGAAGTGCAGACTTTACAGACTGCTTGGTTTAGAGTAAACCCTCGATCAACCCGAGCGCTCTGGGGGTTATCGGACCGCGTCTGCTATCGGAGCCCCTCTGACTGTCATCCTTCCTAAAGTGGTCTTGGGGACAAGGGACAGGAAACGTGGAGCTTGGCCCCTTGATACTTCTCTGATGCCTTGCATTTCACATGCCAGCATGCCAGCAACATGAGCTTTTAGAAGTTAACTAGGCACTGATGTGGTTGGAGCCAGCCAGACTGAAATCTTAAATCTAAGTGAGTCAACAGGGGAGAGAGAGAGTCGTGGGAAAACGGAACAACGTGCCTGAGAAATCAAATGAATGAACACAAAGTTGTTAAGACCCTCCCCGGTCCTTAGAAGGGGCCGTGCGAGCGGGAGGCCAGAGTCTCGGCCTCAGTGGCTTCTTGTTGGACATGAGCCCTGACTCCGGATGCAGTCTGAGCACCCGTGCAAACCGCGGGTTTGGAGCATCCCTCTGGGTTGGCCGTTGGCTGGTGGCCCTGCCCTTCCTTCGCCCCCAGGTTCACCGCAGAATGTTTGCACAGCCCTGAGTCCTCAGCACTCTTCATCTCCGCTCAGTCTGGAAGGAATGGGTGTCTCTTCCAGGCAAAGTCCGACGGGCTTGCGGCTGAGCCTTTCAGAAACAGATCCATCTCCGTGACCCCTGCTGCTTTCCGAGCACAGCCCTGGGCCACGCGGCTGCTAGTTAGGGAGATCAGGTGGGCGCGCCCTCGGCCTGAGGACGGAGGGGCCGAGCCCAGAGGGCGCCTCGGCGATCACCGCGAGGGTCTGGGTGCAGGAAGTGGGGGTCCAAACTCACGCCCTGTGCACCCAGGATGATCTAAGGCGGGCAAGAGGCCTCGCCGACCTGCTCCCTGCTGACCCTCAGCCCCCGCCCGTGACGCGCCTGACCCCGTGCCTGCCGGGGGACGGGCCCACAGAACGGCGCTCTGAGCGGGGCAGGAAGCGGGCAGCGCTCTGAGGGGCAGGGCTGAAGCCGGAGGGAGATGGAGAAGAACCAGGCGAGTCCTCCTCTCTGAGACAAAACGAGTCCTGCCAAGAAGTGCGGAGACAGACCCCAAGCCGCTGGCTGGGAGAGAGAGGCAAGTCCTTAGCTTAGTGCCCCGCGTGGAAGCCGGTCTCGGGGAGCCGACACCGCGGCCTGGCAAGGGCCAACCACGCGGCCCCGAGGCCGCCGCCCGCCTCCAAACACCGCGCGCCCGGGGCCATCCCCTCCCCAGCCCGCGGCCTCTGCCTCCAGGCCGGGGGCGGGCGCGGCGGCCTGCAAACGCGTGAACTGAAGGGCATGGCCGCCCAGACGCGCCCTGGGGGCGCGGCGCCGAGACTCCGAGCGCTGTGAGGGCCGGAGGGCAAGAGCTCCCGCGCGGCCTTCCGTCACTCCTGGGGCGGGGCGGCGCCCGAGCGACCGCGGGCCACGCCGGGAGCGGGCAGCGTCCATGCGCCCAGCCTCTGGAAGTCTGTAGCCGCTTTAAAGCAAGAGGAACAGCCACTTGGCAAGTGAGCACGTTGAACTGTAGAAGCCTAAAACACAACCTGGTGCTCAGCAACAGCGCCAACGCGTTAAGAACGTCTCAAGAGCTGGGAAGAGTCGGGACTCGAGGAAGTCCACCTGGGCGTGAGACGGCGTTTCCGCTGACCACGCGGTGAAGGAGCTGCAGCGACGTTCACCCAACACGCTTACGGGAAAGAAGAACACGGAAAGACGCGACGGGAGAGCAGGAGAGAGGGGTTCCTTCCAAACCCTTACGCTAGCCAGCGCGCAGAGAAGCAGGCCCAGGCGGACGGGGCCGGACTAGGCCAGCGCGGCGGGGCTGCTGGCGGCGGCGGAGAGCGCCGGGGCCTTTCCTGAGGGGAGGCGGGCCTCAGGAGGCGCGCGGTGGGGACACACGACAGCTGGGCGCGAGGGCGGCGCCGCCGTCGCTGCTCCTGGGCCCAGGGGGGCGGGAGGAAGGCCGGGCCCGCTCGGCGGCGGCTCGAGCCCGGGGCCGCTGCCGGCCTCGCGGCCCACCGCCGCGGGGCCCGGCCTCCAGCCGCCTGCTTCCCCCGCTGAGCCCGAGTGCTTGGCTCGCAGCTCGGCGGTCGCGCTCTCGCCTCCAGGAGTAACACCCGCCGACCGCGAGCTCCGCCGGCCGCTTTGCCAAGGAGGACCCGACACCGCCTCCGGAGCGAGAGAGAGCCGGGGCGAACGGGATGCTTCACCGACGGAGGGGCCCAGACCGGCGCGGCCCGCGGCGCCCGCCGCCAGGCCCGGAAGTCAGGCTCGGAGGAGAGAATGGGCTTCCCGCCCGATTCTCTGAATTCTCAGCGTGAGGAATGACTTGACCTGCCGGGTCCCGAACCCCAGAGGCCTCCCGTAGAGATGTTCCCTCATCACTGGGGCTGCCCAGCGGGTCAGGAGACGCAGGAGAGAGATGTGGGCTCGATCCCCGGGTGGCGAAGGTCCCCTGGAGGAGGGCACGGCGACCCACCCCAGTATTCCTGCCTGGAGAATCCCGTGGACACAGGAGCCTGGCGGGCTGCAGGCCATGGGGTTGCGACGAGTCAGACGGGACTGAAGCAGCTGAGCTTCTCGTGTTTGCTTTTTTAAAAAATTACATTGAGCTTGATTGCTCTAATTGAAAAAAAAATGCATGCTGATTGTAGGAAAAGTGAATGTTAACGATAAAGTAGAGATCATAACATACGAGGAAGTTTATATCCTGTGCTTACACTTAGCATCATATCATGAAAATTTCCCCATAGCATGAAACGCTTTTCTAAACTGATTTTTGAATATTATGCAATGGTCCCTTATAAATGCACAGTTAACTCAATTTATTTTGAAGAATTTTCCTCTTGGTGAATATTTAGGTTTTTATTCCCCAAGTTTGATACATAAAATTACAATTTAAGTCCTTGGTCATAATCTTAGTGTTTCTTTCTAATTATTTCCTCAGGGGACAAACTACAGGTGCTGGTTCAACAGGAGGGAAACATTTTCGAGACACCTGAGACTCTTTTGAAGATCAGGACTCCAGCAGAAATTTTGTACAGATGAACACACCCATCAACAAGGTAGGGAACAGTTTCTGATTCCTAGCTACACTTCACAGTTTGAGTGTTGTCATTTTTTAAGTGTTTGCCGTTTTGACCACAAACAATGGTATCGAGTTTTAGGTTGTTCTCTTTTGGTCGTTAGTGAGGATGAAGAGTTTTCCTATGGTGACTGGCTGTTTATTGGTCTGCCTTTCTGAATTGCCTATTTGTAGCCATAGTCTGTTCTTCTGTGGAGTTACTTTATTCTCCTATTGATTTGCAAGCTCTTTTTTACATAGTAGGGTGTTTAATGGCTTTTTGGGTACTGTATATATTCTAAATATTTCCCCATAGGCATTTTAACAGTAAAAAGATACGAACATTTTACGTTGTCAAATCTATCAAAATTTTTCCGTGTTTCTATTTCAATGCTGTTGTTTACAAAGTCTGTCTTCACACTCTAGAAGTGAGCATATAAAATTTTCTTCCTCTGGTTTTTTCTGGTTTATTCTTTGGCAGTTATCTTGTAGTTTACTTAGATGCATGATGTGAGTACGTGTCAAAATTTACTTATTACTAATAGCAAAGCAATTATATTGGACGAATTCACTTAATAATTTTTTCTCCACTGATTTAAAATGCACTTTTACGTCACATTAAAGACATAGTTTGTTCTATTTCTGCTTTTTTGTCTGTGTTGTTGGACTGTTTACTTCACCTCTGGCCATTGCATGCTGTTTGAGTTAGTGCTATCCCAGGTATTACACTTTAATAGGTAGCTGTGGTCCTTCTCAGTTATTTCTCTCCTTAATGAGCTTTATTTTCCTTGCCCATTTATACTTTCTTATAAAGTTTGATATAACTTGGTTAAAACTGTGTTGTTGGTCATTTTACTGGAATTTATTTCAGTTTATTAAATAATCTGGAGATGAACTGACATTTCTGGAATACATACTGTGGCTTTTCTATCTATGAATATTAAATACTTCTTATTTTATTTATATCTGTTCCCTCAGGAAATATTTGCTTGATAAGATGCGTTTCATCATATTTTAGTGTCTTTTATGTTGTATGGTTTTTCTGAATGGATTTTTTTCATCATTGCCAACATTTGGGAATTATACTATTTTTTGCATATGTGTTTTTCTACTGGTTGTCTAAATAGGTCCTAAAGTTTCTATGTAGACATCACTTTGAAATTTATTGTTATTTTTTTTGAGAGAGTAGTAGAGGAGAAAATCTTACTGTAGGAAAACAATGGCAATTTTGCCTCTTCCCAGTTCCTCCAATTTCCAGATGATGGTGAACATCGGAGTGCAGGGGCATCCTAGCCTTCTCCTGTCAAAGCATCATCACTCTGATGATGCAGACTGCAGAGCCTCCACTTTGAAGTCACATCTCTTGTGAGCTGTTAAAATAGTACATAAATGTTCCCAATGATCACCAACTTATCTCTAAATCATTTTTCTTAGTCTCAATGTTTCCTTTACATTTTTCTATGCAAAGAAATTATATAGCTTTACCTCTATTGGTTTGAAGAATATGTGTTGTGTTTATTCGCTCAGTCGTGTCCAACTCTTTGCGACCGTATGACTGCAGCCTGCCAGGCCCCTCTGGTCGATGGAGATTCTCCAGGCAAGAATCCTGGTATGGGTTGCCATGCCCCCCTCCAGCGCATCTTCCCAACCCAGAGATCGAACCCAGGTCTCCCACATTGCAGGTGGATTCTTGGCTGTCTGAGCCACAAGAAAAGCCCAAGAATACTGGAGTGAGTAGCCTATCCCTTCTCCAGGGGATCTTCCCAACCCAGAAACCGAACTGAGGTCTCCTGCATTGCAGGTGGATTCTTTACCAGCTGAGCTACCAGGGAAGACTATAAACTTAGGTGTTTTTCTTTCTTTAATGGTACTCTTGTGTTTCTGAGACCTGAGTTCAATCTGTGGTCCACTAATTATCAACGTGAGAAAGTAACTCTCTGCTTTGAAAGACTGGGAACTTCTCTCTCCTCCTCACCCTGAAATAATTTCTAAGCATTTTTAATGTAACCTGGGATATTTTAAAGCCAGACAATAATGAAGATAATTTATAATACTTTGTTTCCCAAGAATAGTTTGCATTTTACTTTAAATTTAGAACCACGTTTACAATTGTATACATGTAATTCTGTGGCTGCATTGGGAGGTGCCCATGCTGAGTTCTGTGTTTGTGTCCACTCTGGGTTCCCTGAGTCACACACACTTCATTCAGAGAGATTGGGAAGGTCTTTTGTTTTTTTTTTTGTTTCCTGAATTCTTCATCTCTGAGAAGTGGTCTTGCTGCTGTTTGCACATGAAGTCTACTTGCACGGGCCGGGTCTTCTCAGCTCAGCTCTGTGCACCCTGGAACATGGGCCCACCCGTTCCTGTCCTCTGGGGCCACAGTGATGGAGCTGGGAGAGTGTCAGCTTGATTTATTTGTGTATTTTTACCAGTAACACCTAACTGTAGGATTATTTTCTCTATACTTGAAATTTAAGCACAAGTTCATGTTTTATCTCCTATCAGAAAGTGGGGTCATCTCCCCATTGTGGATGGGGTCATCTCCCCGTCAGGGGGTGGGGTCATCACCCCATCAAGGGGTGGGGTCATCTCCCATCAGTAGGTGGGCTCATCTCCCATCAGAAGGTGGAGTCATCATTCCATCAGGGGGTGGGGTCATCTCCCATCAGAAGGTGGGCTCATCTCCCATCAGAAGGTGGGGTCATCATCCTATCAGGGGTGGGGTCATTGCCCCATCAGGGGCTGGGGTCATCTCCCATCAGAAGGTGGGAGTCATCATCCCATCAGGGGGTGGGGTCACCTCCCCATCAGGGGGTGGGGTCATTGCCCCATTAGGGGCTGGGGTCATCTCCCATCAGAAGGTGGGAGTCATCATCCCATCAGGGGGTGGGGTCACCTCCCCATCAGGGGGTGGGGTCATTGCCCCATCAGGGGCTGGGGTCATCTCCCATCAGGGAGTGGGGTCTTCTCCCCATCAGAAGGTGGGGTCATCTCCCCATCAGGGGGTGGGATCATCTCCCCATCAGGAGGTGGGGTCATCACCCCATCAGGGGGTGGGGTCATCTCCCATCAGGGGGTGGGGTCATCTCCCATCAGAAGGTGGGGGTCGTCATCCCATCAGTGGGTAGGGTCATCACCCCATCAGGGGGTGGGGTCATTGCCCCATCAGGGGCTGGGGTCATCTCCCATCAGGAGCTGGGGTCCTCACCCCATTGGTAGATAGGGTCTATTTCCCCACCCTTGGATTCTTGACTGGCTTATGACATCCCTTGACCAGTAAACTGTAGTGGACATGACAGACTGCAGCTTCTGCCTTTGCCCTCCTGACGTACCCTGGGACCCCCACAGGCAGTGGTCTGGCCTGCATGAGTCACCATGTAGAGGAGAGCTGGGCAGCCCAGCCGGCGGCTGCTGCCAACCTCCAGACGAGATCCGTCCAGCCAGCCTTCCAGCTGGACATGGCTGCTGGAGGGAGCCCAGGCAAGGCCAGCCCAGCCCACCCACGCGACGGAGGACAGCACCTACTTGTCAGCCACTGAGTTTCGGGGGCGGGTTGTTATATAGTGAAATTGAACGGACGTGCAGTCCTCCTGACCCCAAGGAAGAGGGTGACCCGGTGAGCCGATGGACTTGGCCATCTGAGCTCCCAGAGGACGAGGGGAAGACGGCATCGCTGACGTTCTGGAGGCTTCTCTGCCCCAGCCTGGCTCACAGCCCTGCTGGAAGCACAGCTGGACGGGACACGGGTGGTTTGGGGGCACATGTCCCGTCAGATGATGGGGGCTGAGGGTGAGACGCTGAGCAGGGAGCTCTGGGCGGGGCCTGGGGGCTCTAGGGGTTAGCACCCCTAGCCTGGAGCGTCCTTCCCCCAGACTCAAGGCCCGGATGCCAGGCATGCGGGATGACTTGTTCTGCAGGCAGGGTGGACGGAGGACGGGAGGCGCCGAGGGCCTGTGGTCCCTGCTCCTTCCCTCTGGCCCGGCAGCACAGGTTCAGGCAGGTCCCTGGAGAGATGGCAGGTTCCCCTCTCTCGGAAGGAATTCACGCCTTTAAAGCTAGTTAAGGAGTTGATGAGATCAGCAGAGGCTGGGAGTGGCCTGACAGTTCTTTATGTCCAGCAGACGCTTAGGAACTTGTGAGGCGGCGCTCACTCGGAGGCGGAGGACGATCGTGGCCCTGGAGGAGCCCCAACCCCGTTGGGGACGGTTCGTCTCTTCTGCTCGGTTACTCCCACGTGTGAGAAATGCAGATAAATACACACACGTGTAAGAATGTGTCTGAGTGTGTATGCATGGGTGTAGAGAGGCATTTCCCAGAAGAGTTCAGGTTCTGACCCCTGACCCCTGGCTGCACTTGACTCTGCAGCACAAAGCTTCAGAGGAGTCCGGTGCAATGGAAGAGCTAGAAGAACAGGTCAAAGGTTGGAGGTCATGGGAAATTACATGAACTTGAGACTCAGGGGTGAGGGAAAGCCAGGTTGAGGCTTTTGGGGGGTTGGGGGGCATGTTTATGGGCAGAGATGCTGACTTGGCTCAGCTACTGGCCAGGGAACTGAGGGCTGAAAACAAACAGTCTTCTCTGTCCTGCGTGGCTGGGTCTGGTTGGGCCTGATGTGTCCCGGAGAAAGGTAGTTCTAGAATAAACCAGTATGCCCGGCCGTATTTCGTCAGACGGGCACCCGCCATATCCGTGTTGGGTGCCAGGACACCAGTGTATAGGCTATGACGAGGGCCCCAGGCTCATCAGGGGGCAGCACCCACGGCTGAGGTCAGCTGGACATGGGTGGAAAGCCTTCAGGCAGGGCAGGACGGCTGACTTTGGAAAGCCTCCCTCCCTCCCTTGCGGAGGGTGCTGGCTGCGGTGGCTGTGGCCTCGCTGGGCGGGCGTGTGGCCTCTCTTCCCTGGCCACGAGCAGGGAGTCGTGGCTGCCTGCCCTCTGTGTCTCAGGGGCAGCGGGGTTGGGTCGCTATTGTTGGCCGATCCCCGCCAGCCCGTTCTGCATTCCTCACTGTGTCTCACGGGGCTGCAGCGACGATGACCACTCAGGGGGCTCCCAGGCAGGAGGCTGGTCTCCCGGACTTCAGAACCGCCGCTCAGCAGGGCCCTGCTCCCCCCGAGCCCGCAGCGGGGCTCCTTGCAGCTTCCGGTGCTGCGGACAGCCTTCCGGGTCCTCGGCCCAATCCCTGCCTCTGCCTGCACACGGTCCCTCTCTGCGCCTTGCCCCCTTCTCATCAGGGCACCAGTCCCCCTGGGTGAGGAGCCCAGCCTGCTCCGGGGTGACCCCCTCTAACCTAGTCACGACAAGGTCAGGCTCACCGGTGCTGGGAGGGAGGCTTGCCAAGCCCAGACCCCGGTCCAGTGCCCTCCACAGGCGGTGGCTGCAGGCCGGGCCCCCAGGACTGGCGGCCTGCCGCGGGACTCAGGCTGGGCCAGTGTGCGTGAGGAGAGGGCGGCAGATGACAGAGGTGCTGTGTGCTTCCTCCCGGTGCTCCCGGCACCCTAATCACAGCCGTCACCAGTGCCCCTCTGTGCTACTTCCGGTCCTGAACCTGCCGGCTCCTCTGCCAACCCACGGCGAGTTCTGCTGCAGTCCTGAGAGTGGCATATTGTCACCCGACTTGAATGCCCAGTGGACGCAGTATTTTCTACTGAGATGAACCAACCTGTCTGGGCAGGGGGCACCTACCTGGCGAGAAAGGCCTACGGTGACAGCTGGCCCCCGATTTGGAACAGCAGTAGTTTAAGGCAGCTCAGTTACTCAACCAGAGAAACCCCTGGGTGTTAGGGTTAACACGGCATCGGTTTAGTCCCTGTGGGGCAGCTCTCGAGCTGGGGGTCTAGGATCCAGCCCTGCTCTGTCTTAGGCTGCACTGTCCTCCATCATGTTGCCCCTGAGGCCTGGGACGTGGTCCCCATCCCAGCAAACTGGAAAGGGGGCAGAGAACTCAGAAGGGGTGAGTCACTTTCCTCCACATTCTGCTGTGCCTGCTGCTTGCAAGGCCCAGCAGGAGAGACAGAACTGGATGGGACAAGTGGAGCCCTGCCTCGTCGGACGTCTTCCTGGGTTTGTTTGCGTCACCACTCACCCAATCAGCCAAAGTTCCACGAATCAGTCCACTTCTCTTCAGTTTGGTTTCCAGCTAGGATTTCTATACCCAGCCCAAATCTCAATCAAGACAGATGTTCTACTCAGTATATTCTTTCTTGGTATCACCTACATCTGACCTGCCCTGCCCCTTGTGTGGACTGTCCTCCCCTCCTGCAGCAGATACCCCTAGCGTGATCATCGTAAACAGTAAATTGGATTGTGGTGTGGCTCCCTGCACAGTCATCTCCCCAAAGTTTTTCCTCTACTTTCTGGGAGGCTTTTTGCTTGTTATAATCCAGTGTCACTTACAAGCTTTTAATTTCCAACGTCATATACTTAATTTCAGTTTTGTGCTCTGAACGATCCCCTTTGTATAGCCTTTTGTCCTTATTTCTCTAATGGAATATCATCCCTTGTCTATTTCAAGTTATTTAAAGACAAGTTCCTGCAAAGTTTGCTTCTTCTTGCATGGTCTTTGGTTTTTGGAGGTGAATGTTTTCCTGCTCACTCAGTCATTTAGTCTGTTGATTTCACATTAGATCCTCTGCTCACACATATGTCTGATGGCTCTTAGTTCTGGCTCACACCCAGGAGAGGGCCCTAAAGGCTCATCTGAAGCTGAAGGGGGGCGGGGGGCAGGAATCGATGAGTATGGGATTCAGTCCAGGGGGGAACTGTGCCTTTAAGTTGGGAAATGTTACTACTAGTCTCTTTGGGTCTTTCTCCATTGCCGGTCAGGTGGCTCAGACTCCTGTCTGGACCCTGGAAGGCCTGGCCGCTTGCATTCTGAGACCCTGGATGGGAGGGAGCTGAGGGTGCAAATGTTTGCCTAGTTTCCTGACTCAAGCGTGGCTCCCCTACCGTGACTAGACTGAGGTTTCCTGCTATGCTCACCCAGACTGCCCACTGCTGAAGGAGACATCTGACCAATCTGCTTTTTTTAATCCCACTTGGTTCACAGCTTTCAGAAGTCCGTGGGCGGTTCTGTCCTGTAATGTCAGTCACTCTCAACGCCCGCACCGCGGGCCGAGCTGCAGCCTTCCCAAATCTCAGCATCAGTTCCAAGCATCCATCACTTCCCGGCTCCCAGGATGGTGTCAGTGCTCTTACCGCCCCTCTCCTCCCACCCCTGTGGGTTTATACCTTTGGAAGAAACCCTGAACTGTCTCTTTGGTGGGGATTTGGAGCACGATCTGGGGGGAGGGAAGCACAAGGTGACCCGCCTGGGCACTGTAATGCCCCCATCTCTGTCCAGCCCCCTGCATGGCCGGCCGCGCCCTGCTGGGTTAGGGTCACTCCACAACCTCAATTACACCATCCAGGCTGCGTCTCCAACTGGGGCTGGCCAGCATGGCGTCTCGGGTCATCCACCTCCACCCTGCCACGGTGCCTGGCATTCAGTCATGCGCTGATTAGCAAACGACTGTGGATGGGTGGTCTGCTCATAGACGCTGAGAACACAGAGAGACGCAGGACAGGGCTCCTGGCATTGGGAGGCTGACCGCATCCTTGCAGGGTGTGGGTGGAGACAACATGAAACAGCCAGTTCAAATAGCCCTTGAATTAGAGTGTGACCTTATTGCATGTGTGTGACCCTGTTGCATACTTTATTTACACATCTGTGCATTAAAAATGCATGCATGGTGCATGTGCAGTCTCTCAGTCATGTCTGACTCTTTGTAACCCCATGGGCTGCAGCCCACCAGGCTCCTCTGTCCATGGGATTTCCCAGGCAAGAATACTGGAGTGGGTAGCTGTTTCCTTCTCCAGGGGGTCTTCTCAAGGCAGGGATCAAATCCAGGTCTCCTGCATTGCAGGCAGATTCTTTACCAACTACGCCACCTGGGAAACCTCCATTAAAAATGTATAACACTCAATATAATTTGTCTAACAAATGATATTTTCTTTCAAAATATGTCCAAAAGCACACAGAGCTAATATGTGCAACCTTTGCTTCGCTGTTGTATTTATTAATGTGATATCATCCTATTAAATGTGAGGGACTTTTTCTGAATCTGAAGTGTGTGTGTGTGTGAAATACATATGCATTTGCTCATTAATTCATTGGCCATACCTTGCTAGCAGATGGAAGCAATAGGGAGGTAAATCTATCTATTTAAGGTTAATTTCTCTATTTCTAAATTGTGAGCTACATATAGGAGTCATGTCTGATTTATGTCCCCCCCACAATGCCCAGTAAGCAGTTTGCTCAGAGTGCACAATATATGGAAAAGACTTAATAAATATTTAATAAATGGATAGATGGATGGGTAGATGAGTGGATGTATAGGTAGGTGAGTGAATGAATGGACTGGGTGAATGATGTACAAATGGACAGATAGTCTTTAATTTTTACTAATGATCTCAAAATTATGGACAGTTTTACAAAATTTAAGTGACATGACATACCAGAAAATACTTGGAAAACCCCAAAATTAAATGTATGAATTACTAATAATAAAATAAATGCATTACTGTTGGGCTTACATTGTTTATATTGTGTCTCTTCTCAAGAACATTATGAAGTGCCCATAATATCTTGGTACCAATGACTGTTGATTGTTGTCCATCTGGTTGCTGAAGTAGACAGATGGTCCAATGACCTCCATGCCATTTGTGCTTTTCTCTTTCTTCTGGACCTAAGGACAGGAAATGAGAAAAGGGACAAATGCCCTTTGTATCTTAAAGTGCTGGAGTTAATCAAAAAGAAAGTGCTTCAGAAAGTCAGAATTTTATTATTAACCATTTGTATCCTATTATTAATTTTATGTCTGATGTTTTCAGTTTAGTTTAGCTTCAAGATTCCTCTTTTTAAAAAAGTAAAAGAAGAAAAGAAATGGTGAGAAATTTTAGGCAGTTTTGAGTGTTTAGACGATGGGCTTGAATCAACCATATTTAGTCCTGGGGTGGGGGGTGTGCAGGGGAAAAAGGTGAAGGACTTCACTGATTTTCCTGTCCTCAAGATCTGGAACAGTCATTCTCAGTGGTTTTCAACTTGCCAGGGGCAATTTGGCACTATTTGGAGAAATTTTTGATCGTCACCACTGGGAGGGGAAGGCGGCCACCCTGGCATCTGGTGGGTAGGGACCAGGGATGCTGCTAAGGGCGCAGGATGGCCTCACACAGCAGAGAATGACCTGGCCCCAAATACCGATAGCGAGAAGCCCAGGTCTCGATGCAATGGAAACAGCAAAGGACTTACAGGCTCGTGAATCCTGGAAAAGGAAGGAGGATTTTATGAGGCGGTTGCACACGGAACACCTCTCTCTCAAAGACACCTGAAAACTTACATACCCTCCCTCCTCCAAATCAATGAAAAGAAAAAAAAAAAAAACTGGTCTAGAATTTTTGGTTCAATTTTAGTAATAATTGATTTATCTACTAAATTATCTACCTAATAAGGCAAAGCAGAAATGCCTTCTTGCTAGAATAAAATATTAAGTCCAAGAAAGCTAATTTGGGGAAGAAAAAAGGAGGAACAACATTTCTAATAATCACTTCTAAGGACAAGAAAAGCCAGGTTATTTGGCTTTGCAGATCACATTTGTTTTAGTCTAGGATTTTTCTGAGTACACCTTCCTCTCTAGTTCAAGAAATCTGCCTTAACATCTAAGATGCAATCTCCTTTCAGAATCACTACAGTACTCCGTCCAAGAATTTGAGCGAGATCTTGGATCTTTGTTTAGGAGAAAAAAAATAACCAAAATTTACCAAAAACCTAAAATACTAAGTAAAATGGTGAGTAGTGGAGAAAAGTCCTCAATGGAATCATTGGATGGAAAAAAGAAAACAGTGTTGCCTTAATTGGCTTCTTAATGATTCTGTATGTCTATCTTCTGGCCTTTTTTTTTTTTTTTTTGAGGGGGGAAAAAAACCCTTAAAACAGAAAGGTTAATCTAACTATACATTTTAAGCTTTTAAAGGCTCCATTACAGTACTTATTATGCTAAAAGAAACATACCTGGCACATTGCAGCTTCTAAATGTATCAGCAATGCACGTAATGATTCACTTAAAACACCATGGTCAGAATTCTTCCACGTTATTTCTATGTAAATTGGATGCTTCACAATTACTATAATATGTGTGAAATTCCACTTATTATTTCTTTTAACATAGAAACTTTTATCACTTAACTCACTGGACAGAATGTTTGAGCCATTTGCAATCATTAGAGCATTTCTGTTTGGTCAAACCCTTGTGGATTATACTTTGCAAAAGACAGTGAATTATATTCATTGCAAGAAAACAGCAATTTTAAATATATAAGGGGCAGCAGGAAACTTTTCATTTCAGTGCAAATTCAGTATTATATCTTACTACTTTTTACGCAGGGTAAGCTTTTATCTTTCAGCAATTTATAAAACCCAGCATGGACTAGGCCTGTGGCTCACAGCATAGATCAGTCTGATAGGTAAACAGGGACTTGGGTCAGGGTGGAAGCTGAGCCTTGCTGGGCTCCAGGACTATTGCTTTTCCCTCTGGGAGCCTTCCCGCGTGACCCCGGTGGAGGCCCAGCTCACTGCCCCCCCCCCCCCCCCCCCCCCGCTTCCTGCGTGGCTGACTGTGTCCTGCCATCCCCTCTTAGTTGCCCCAGCCCATCTTTTCCCTGGACCCCTGGGTGCCCCCGTGAACTCTGGGGACCAGCTGGCTGGTAACGGGCCCTTCTGGGAAGAACATTTGAGTTTTTCAAACAGATTTGGAGAAGCAGCTCAAAATCAGAAAAAGAGGGGCGTTGTTACCTATTGAGCTGCTGTCTGTGTGGGCCGAGGGACTCTGCTTGGGAATCTGGAGCTCTAAACAAGCATTCCAGTCGTGGCACGGCATGTTTGGAGGAGCCCTTTCTGCCTCGGTCATTTGGGATGCTTTCCAGGGAGGAGAAACAGCAGCGAAGAGGAGATTTGCATGCATGCCACCCGAATTTTAAGACACAGTGTATGTAGGTTTGTTTTTAATAAATGGAGGAGAAAATTAAAATCAGAACTTGATTAATAGCTAATTATGTAAACATCTAAATTATTGGATGAGGTTTTTTTCCTTAAATTGTGCCATTTTAAAATGAGGCAATTTTTCAGTGACATGACGTAATATTGATTTCCCAAGTTTTATTCTCCAAACATTAACTAACAAAGACAAGTTGAGAACATCCGATTAAAGCTCTTATATATGGAATAAAAATTAAGTGATTTTTATTTGGACTGTTTTTTCAGCTATATCCCTTAAAGGAAAGATAGTTACATTCCTCCAGAAAATTGAAAATGCAATTGTCGTTTTTCTATTATTGTAATGTTACTTCACATTTTGATTGTAATTTTTTTAGGTGCCTATAGGATATTTGAAATACACTGTGTAACAGACCCATGTTTGTGTGAATGTGTGTGTGTGTGTGTGTGTGTGTGTGTGTGTGTGTGTGTGTGTGTATGAATGACTGGTGAATTATGCTTTGGTTTCATCTGAAAGTTACCTTGCATAGATTTAATATTGGAACTATATTATTAATAGTTGAACATATAATGAGCCTAGTCTTTAACTGTACTCTAAAGAAAGATGGTTTTGGTGTTTAAATGAAAGACGGAGACTGAAATTCAAGTTCATTCCAGGTTCAAATGAAGAAGAGTTAAAAAAAAAATGCAGGCAGGTCAACCAGGCAGGCTGCGTCTCTGCGTCGGGAAGCAAACTGTTGTCAATCCAGCTGGTTCTCCTAGGTCAGCACTGGCCGGCCCAGCCACATGGGTGGGCCCGCCAGGTCCTGGACAGGCTGGTCATGTGGCCTCACGGAGGAAAAGGACACACACGTGGACAGCATAGTTTGGGCGTGTCCCGCAAATAACTGAAAGAAGCAGCTACCAAATACAGGATCGAGGCCTCTCCGTCTGGGGCCGATTAAATAAAATGTATAAAGATCACGTATCCGTTCTCACTGTGCACTCTGGTAGAAAGGCATGCATCCCAGATGCCAAGATGATGTGTAGACTTCCGGCAAAGGTGTCGACACCCTGAAAGAATTAAGGACAGAAACCTGGAGGACAGGCAGTACCCCCTTTGGGTTGAATTATCAAGAACAAACTATTTTACAAATTTTAAATGGTTCGTCTATTCATAGCTAAAGCAGAAGAAAAGCCAGTATGTTTTCATTCCTTCTTTTTTTTTTTTTAGCCCACATATTTTCAAAGACCTCCTATAGTTAACATTATAATATAGTTAGTTGCTACAAATAATCGGGGTGATTATAGGAAAACTGTCAGTGTCGGCTCAGGGTCTGAAAAGACTGCGGCAAATGGCTTTTCTCTTTGCCATGGAGACTGGGCTCCGTTTGTACGGTTACTCTGGAAACCGGAGCCTTGCTGTTGTTAGTCCCTTTCAGCTACTTCAGCTATTAAACCCTCCGGTTGAGACAAAAGGAGGGAGGTATG